CTCATTCATTCTCAACAACCCTATGAAATAGGAACTACTGTTATCCCTGTTCTACAGATTAGCAAACTGGGGCACAGAGAAGTAAGAAGAAAATATGAACAAGCAAATGATAAACAGCAGGCATAACTTTTAAATCTCAGAACTGGCCCAATAAATATGTTTTTGTCAAAATTAGAGTTACTAACTTCAAAGTTTGCAATGATTTCTTATATTTGGATCTTAAACTACATCTAAATATCTAAATAATAATATCTAAAATATTCCACAGACCTTCCTTATAATCAATCTTTTTAAGAGCCATAACCTAGGAATATGTTTTCCTACTCAAACTCTGAAAACCTTACCAACTACTGTATATGTTAATAACCATCATAAAATGCTGACATAAGGAAGAAAACAGTAAAAGGAGACCAGTCCCTAGGATATAAATGCAAACTCCAAAGTCATAGACGATCCCAGTGTTTGATGCTCTATGTTCATTCATCATGCATTTAATCTTTGCTGATTTATTCATTCAATAACTATTTTTTTAGTGTGAACTATTAACAAGGCACTATAAATGATTACCTTTCCAGACGGAGAGAGGGTGCTGCTCCAGACATGTATGGTTATGCAACGTATCATTTAAGGCTGTATGATTTTTAGAGTAGCTCCAATAACAATCCAATAGCCCAAGAATGTGGCAAAAATTATTGTCACATTTCATGAATTGTAAGTAAAACATTTTTGAAAGGAAAACTGTATGGCTCCTAACACTGGGTCTTAAAAAGTTTTAGGATACTTTTTTTAAATTAAGAGTATCGTTGAGGTTGACAAACTGATGATGTAATCTACTTAGAAGGAAAATCATTTTATTCTGTCTTTTTAACCATATAAGATACACCAATTGTCCCAAAAAAGGATTGAAACAAAATTTAAATTACAGTATCAAGAAAAGCTAATAGTCAGTAACCCAGGAACAAGACTACCCTGTAAATCACCAAAGGCAGGACTGCTTCAGAATCCTGCAATGCCTTGCGCAAAGCAGAATTTGCCTTTCAGCCCCATTAATGTGCAGAAGAATAGATTCCAAAGGGCTGCAGGAGACAGGCACAGAAAGCCAATTCGCAGAAATGAAATCAGCTTTTGTTTGTAATAGTGCTGCAAGGTTCCTGATAAGAAAGAAAAGACTAAGTCCAAACTTCAATTCATTCAAAATGCATGAGAGCTATGGGAGGCCACAGAGAAGAGTAAACCCTTAAAGAGCTTATAATCTGCTCAGGGGGAGAGATGTGGAAATAACTCAAAACCAGAGCCCAGAGTAGAAGCTGGAAATTGGACATTAAATACTTAAGTAACAGAATTTAAAGTAAAATGCTATAGCAACACATTGTAATGAGCCACTCATTTAACTTATTAATACTAATACTAATAAATAGGAGAAGGATGAAAAGGAAGAGCCTGGAACACACAAGCAATCTGCCTGGAACCTGCATGGAGGACATGGAATGACAGCAGCATCTCACCTGAGAAGCCTTTGACAATAGGAAGGACAAGAGCAAATATATAGCTGCCTTAGAGGTAATGGTTCAGCCATAAAGTGGGAAAACAGAACGTGAAATGAGGCTGAAGTAAAATCAGAGAACCATCTACAAGCAGACTATAGAGTGTGGATTCTATTCTGGTGCAGTGAGAAGCACAGCAATGTCTTAAGATGCAGAAGAACACAGTTAGACCTGTGATCTGAGAACATCACACTGCCAATGGTAAAGAAAATGGCTTGAACTGGAGCAAGAAAAGGGGCCAGAAGCAGCTTACACCAATCTGGGCTTGAATCAGTCAAGTTCACTGTTCTTTGTAACTAATAGGTATTGAGCAAACATTGTTGAGTTGAATAAAGGACCAAGAGGTGGCCCCAGCATCTCAAGCCTCTGCTCTGACTGTGGCTATACACTAAACTGGTGACAGCTCTGTGAACCAACTCTGCACCCAGGCAGCTGGTGCCTCTGCTCAACGGGAGGCCCTTTTCCCTCCATTCCCATCTCTTCCTATTATCTTTCATACCACCATCTCCAATGAATCAGAATCCTGAATTTTATTTCCCTGAACAGTTCCTGATTTCATGCATGTCTTCCTATCGCAACTGCTAACACCCTTGCCTAAGCCAGCATCAACATTCATCTGAATGACTACAATGGTCTTCCCTCATCCACTCATCCCTGTACAGTCTGTTCTCTCACTGCAGCCAGTGATTTTTTAAAAAAGTCAAATATCATCATGTTACACCCCTATGTGAAACTTCTACTGCTCTGAGGAGAAACTCCAAAATTTCGACCACAGCCTCCAGAATCTGGCTCCTGCCTACCGCCCATCAGCACTCCTCTCTTGCACCCCATGCTTTAGCCATATCAACCTTCTTTCCATTTCTTACTATGCTAGGCTCCTTCCCCACTTTGTACTTTCGAATCTGCTACTCCTCTATCTGAACTTTTACCCTAAAACCCCCATCCCAACATCCTAAATGCACTACTCAGCTGGAACATCACTGCCTGACACCAGCAGTTCACCTCCATAATCTCTTAGAACCTTGTACACCTGTTCCACAGTACTTTTCAAAAATTGTATTTAAATAATTATATATTTACTTAGATAGTCACTTGCTTACCTCATGTCTAGTTACACTAGAATGCAACTTCTCTATCTTGTATCTCCAGTACACAACACAGGAGTAGTAAGTACATGGTAGGTATTTGATAAAAGTCTCAGCTCACCTGTTACCAACTCTAAGAAGTCTTTCCCCAAATCCCTCATTTGGAATTACTCCCTGTCTTTCCTTTACACACCAAAGTACCTTGTCTCTTAATGAAAACGTATTTCCTAGTACATCTCTCACTACCATGCTTATCTACTCTAGACAATCAACTACAGAAAGGCAATAACAATTCTCTGGTTCATTCTTAGAGCTGTTAAGTTCCTCACACTTCCCTTGTAACAATCTGTTCCATCCAAAAACTCAACAAATATGTGAACTGTTGAAAAATTGTACACCATCAACCACTTAAAGTAAACCAAATGGAAGTGATGCTTACTTGTTTCTGGTTGAGTTGGCTTTTCTTTCTTAGCACCACTGCCACTGGGGTGGGATCGCTTCCGAATCATGGACATAAGGGATCTTTGGGAGAAAGAAAAAGATCAATAGGAGATTACCAGGTGCTTTATGATACCACAAATAAAATGTATACATTCTAAATAATCACTAAAAATCCAACTCTTCTGGAGGTGCATGAACATGTAAGTAGATTTAAGCAGACTACTTTCCATTTTTAATAATATTAAACTTTCCATCTCTTTATAGGAAAGAAATGTCTCATCCCTTTGTGTGTAAAGCTGCTATAATTACTACTGCAATGCATACACATTGACAAGGAAATTAGATTCAGAAAATACATAAACTTTGTAAACAACAATCTATGATAATACATTTGAGGGAGAGAGAAGGATGGAAGAATTAGGAAATGCTTCATATAAAAAAGTGTTGTATGTTATCAGTAGATATCTACTTGTGAAATACGGGCATTTAAAAGAACTGAATCTGCATGATATAGACCAAATACTTAGGAATGAAATATATTTAGATCACTGTCACTCTAGTCCATGTTTTTAAAATCTACATAAAATCTGAATTATGATAAATGTGACCACATTAAAATTTTAAGACCTCCATAAAGTAAAACACTATACAAAATAAAAAGACAAGTTACAGACTATATAAAGAAATTCTACAAATCAATGAGAAAAAGCAGACAACCCAACATAAATATGCACAAAAACCTTGAAATTCCATAAAAAAGATGTCCAAATTTCCAACACACGTAAAAAAGGTGTCTGACTTCATTAGTTATTAGTAAAACACAAATTAAACCCATACCAAGAAATCACTAACACTCATCTAACAGACAAAAAATTTTAAAGTCTGAAAATTTAAGTGCTGGCAGGTTTGTGGAGCAAATGAAATTCTCAAACTGAGGAGGGTATATAAATTTATAGTACCATTTTAGAAGACTGTTTGGCATTATCTAGCAGAGCTGAAGTTACACATATCCTATGAGCCAGTGATCCCAGTGCTATATGTCTCACAGAAACGCAAGCATTTGTGCACCAGGATACACGTACAAGATTGTTCATGTAGAATTTCCATAGTTTCCCTGAATAACTCAAATGTCTATCAGCACCACAATGGAAAAGTACATTTTGGGACATTCATAAAGTAGATCATACATTGATGAATATGAACGAACTTCAGCCATACAAAATAACATACATGAATCTTACAAAATAATGTAGAGTAAAAAAGGCCAGACAAAATGAGTACAGGAATATTACAATTATATAAAGTTCGAAAACAAGCCATATACATATTTATAGTAGTTTAGGAATACATATGTACGTAGGAAAATGTTTCCTTAAAATAGGCAAGGAAATGATTACCATAATACCATAATAGTCAGGATAGTGATTAGGAGGGAGGAGTTATGTTTGGGAAAGGACAGAAGGAAAGGATTCTAACGCTGTTCTATTTCTTGATTTGGATGGTGATTACATGGATATTTACTTTATGTTATTTTAAGACTATGCATAAGTTTGTGTACATTTCTGTATATATGTCAACATTTCCCCCATAAAAGGTTTACGAGAAAGCAAATGAATCAAAAAAATTTGAATTCTTTTTACTATATTATAAATGTCCTCAGTGTGGTGAACTGTATTTGACAAAATACAGTCCTGATGAATATGAGCTGGGAAGCTAGCAATGGAAAACACATACTTGGAGGATAGGAAAGGCATACTGCTGCCCTTTGAAAAAGAGAAAAATGGATATATGGACATAACAGCCCAATGTATCTTAGGCACTATAATTTTAGATCTTTTTACTTTTTGTTTTTACCTTTAGTTATATTATTAATCCCCTTTCTACCTGCCTTTTCTTAAGATTCCCAGACACACTGGACAATCTTCCACAATGCACAGTAAAAAGAAACAATCACATCCTGCTCTACCCTGTGAAGTTCCCAGGCCTTACCACTTGGGAAATAATCAATCACTGAGCTTTTGACTTCGTCTAGTTTTTATCTTCCTTGGGCTCATAACAACCCAAAAGGGAATTAAATTATTTCCAGAAAAGTTAGAAATTCTAATTTACACAGAACTTTGAAATAAGCACATTTAATTCCAGAAGTTATATGGAATAAAATAATGTAAACTTTATTATTTAAAATAATATAACTGAATGCCAGAAATATTCAATTATCTATTTGTTACCATTCTGGGGGAGGGTGGGCTTGGGAAGGGTTCTCACTAATCAGAGGCCTCTCTTTACTCTCTCACCACATTCTGTAATGATCCTACCTCTGGTTCTGGAGGAAATTTTGAGAGTATGCATTATAGTACATAAAGGTGATGAAGCAGGAATTTATTGTACTTCTCAGTGTATCTGTACAGTCATGAACCACCTAACAACGTCTCAACCAACCATGGACCATATGAACAAAGGTGGTACAGAATAGGCTATCCAATATAGCCTGGGTATTTAGTAGGCTATAACATCCAGGTTTGTGGAAATATACTGTATGATGACCACACGATGACGAAATTGCTTAACGATGCATTTCTCAGAACATATCCTTGTCACTAAGCAACGTGACTGTATATATTTACATATGTGAAGTAAGGATATATGTTCATCATTATAAACCCCCTAAGTGGATGACAGAAAGTGTTAGCTCAAAGTGTTGAGTTGAAGCATAAGTTGGAGACATATGGTGCCCAGAGGAAAATCATTTGTAATATTAAGAACCAACTGTCAAGATGGGGCTTTGACTATGGAGAAAATAGATATGGTAGGAGTCACAGGACAGATGAGAAGACTAGGACAAGACACCTGGAACCAATAACTGAAAAGTCTGGCTATCACTGCCCATTTCACCACTACTTCAACTGAATAGATTTGCTTCAAGCAAGTGTCACCCCAAGACGGAGCAATTCAGTGGAGAATTTTCACCCCGAAGTTCTTTAAGAAGTATTCTTCATGCCCACTGTGATAACTATTTTGTGCGTCCACTTGACTGGGTTGTGGGGTGCACAAATATTTGGTTAAACATTATTCTGGGTGTTTCTGTGAGGGTGTTTCGGATGAGATTAACATTTAAATCAGGAGACTCAGAAAAGCGGATTGCCCTCCCTGATGTGGGCCTTCGTCCAATGAGTTGAAGACCTGAATAGAACAAAAAGGTTTTGACACTCCCCCAAATAAGAGAGAATTCCTCTTGCCTGCCTGCCTTCAAACTGGAACATCGGCTTTTTCTTGCTTTTTAAATTAAACTAAAACATTGCCGCTTCCTCGGTCTTGAGGCTGCCAGCCTTTGGAATAGAAGAGCACCATAGGTTCTCCTGGTTCACTGGCTCTCAGACTCAGACTGGAACTACACTATCAGCTCTGCTGGGCCTACAGCTTGGTGACTCTTGGACTCGTCAGTTTCCATAATCACATGAGCCAATTCCTTATAATAAATCTGTACTTGGATGTATCTATATCTTTATCTATACACACATATATCCTATTGGTTGTTTCCCCAGAGAACCCTAACCAATATACCCATCCCTCTCCCCATGAGTCATACCTGAGCGCCCAGAACCTACCTTACTTTCACTACCACTCATACAAAATGACTAAGGTAGGCCTTCTTCCTCTTTCCTCCCTTCTACCTATCCTCTAGGTCAAATGCGTGGGAAGAGGAGGAAAAAGCAATAAAACCACTTAAAGAAGACAAAATTTTTTTATTCTTTTTTTCCCCCCCACTTTAATTTTTATCCATGACCTCCATCAGGGTAAAACAAATGGCTTAGGAACAA